AAGAGCTGTGAATTCCAGCTGGAGGGTCTCCAGGTCTCGGAGAGCTCCTGCTCCTCCTCTTCCTCCCACCCCCGGAGAGCTGGAGGTGCCCAGGGAAAAGATCCAGCTGGCCAAATGCAGCCTCCGCTTCCATGGGTTTTTCCAAGAGCTCTCCCAGAACCCGCATGGTGCCCTGAGGGACAGGGAGGACGCAGGGACAGGAGCCAAAAGCCACAAGGAGCAGGGGGAGATCCCCAAAGACCCGGAGAGCCTGAGCCACACGTGGATTTGGGAAGGCCCAAGCGTGGAGGAGCACAAGGAAGGGACAGAACTAACAGCAGTGGAGCCGCTGCCAGAGGAAGGAAAACTCGGCATTCCAAGAGGGACAAGAAGCCTTTCTCTGTTCAAAGAGGCTTTGGGGATGAGAAAGGAGGGGTTTGAGGGAGCCACGGCTCCCAAAGGATCCATGGAAGCTCCGCTGTGCCCCAAGGGCACCCGGAACTCTCAGAGATCACTCCCTGCTCCACCAAAACTCCAGGGGCAGGTTGGAGGCCGGGAAGGGGGTTTTCCTTGCACCAAACATGCCATGGGACCTACAAAGACCTCCTTGGACACTCCTGCCAGGACAATCCCTGCGGATCCCGTCGCATCGCTGCGGAGTGAGGCCAGGACCACCTATCGCCATACGGCCAGGTCCCAGCTGGAATATTCCTCCAGTGTTGGGCACCTTACCTCCGCAGGGATGGAAAAACTCTGGAGCAGATCCAGATTGGAGCTACTAATAGATATGGAGGGTCTTAGCTATGCCCAGAGCCTGAAGAGCTTAAGCCCATTCAGTTTGGAGAGGAGGAGGAGGAGGCTACGAGGGATCTTCGCAGTGTGGGAGCACCTAAAAGGGGATCATAAAGACTCGGGTCAGGAGCTAATCCGGCTCAGGAATGGGAAAAACAACCCCCACGCACTCCTGCTTTTCCCCCCGTGCCGAGGGCTCGCGGGGCTGGGCCTGGCAGCTGATCCGGGGGGGAGTTTGGGGGGCTCTGTGTGCCATGGATCCCCCCGCCCGCGTCGTCCCGATGCCGCACTCACGTTTCCGAGCCTGGGCCTCGAACTGGGACAG